CAGACAAAGAATCATCTATAAAACACACTCAGGAAATCCTACAACTCCCAGAAGCAGTCCATCTTTGCAGACAGGTCACAGACAGGTCACAGTGATACACTGTAAATGACACCAGAGGGAAATGTCTGAAAATTGCCCTAGGAAATGAAAAGGTGGCAGGGAGACAAATAGGGGAGCCCTACAACCCAATAAGACTCTATCCTTATTCCTAGTTGCTGAAGAGTCATTGTCTAGACTCCCCGAGAGGACCAGAGAGCCTGCCACCTACTAGGAGGACTGAGAAGCCTGCTGCCTGCAGTGGCACTTTTCTTTCTGGGGAGAATATCACTGATTTGGATGTGGGGTCCAGGTTCCTTCCCAGCCAGGAGGTAACCACACTGGGTAGCAAGACATACTCTTGAGCCCCTGAATTCTCCTTTGGCCAAAATTCTCAAGGCCCCCAGGGAATGTTTGAGGTCTCAAGATTATCTTATTCAAGATGTTTGCTGGGGAAGCCAGGACCCAGATTTCCCTAGACCACCAGGGCAGTGTGCAAGACATGGTGGTGCTTATACCAAGTACACAGTGGCATCTTGAGGTGCTGGCATCCAGGGGAGGAATTCTAGGAATTCTGGGAAAGCAATGCCCAAAGAAGCTGATTGGTTTGCACCAAAGGCCTTCTAGGAGAACTGGGGAGTTTACTACCCACAGTGACTCTTTTCTGCCCAGGTAAAAGATCAGTGATTTGGGGGGGGGTCCAGTTTTTTCCCAGCCAGGAGGTAACTACACTAAGTAGCACATGATACTGTTTTGCACCATGAAGTCTCCTTGGGTCAAAAAATACTATGACCTCTAGGGTATGTCTGGGGCCCAGGATATTATTCAAGAAGGATAGATGCTAGAGGATCCTGGGCCCAACTTTCTCTGACTAAAGGGGCAATGTAGGAGATCTTCTGGCAGTCATGTACACAGGGACCTCACAGGTTTTATCATGAAAGCTCAAGCTAATTTTTAAAACAAATAAAAAATGTAATGATTGGAAGCTGAGAAGATGGCAGATCAATAAGCAGCAAAATAAAAAGCCTCTTTGAGAGAAACAGCTCAAATGCTGGAATATAGCATCCTGGAGAAGACCAGATGGAAGGAGATAAATTCTCTTGACCCAAGAAGAAACTAAAGTGGAAACAAAAAAAAAAAAAAAAAAAAAAAAAAAAAAAAAAAAAAAAAAAAAAAGAAAGAAAGAAAAAGAAAAAAATGTGGACCGAAGACCATAGCCAGACATGCTCTCACTGGAGCTGGTCCCACTGTGTGTAAAATATCACTGGAATCCAAAAAGGCATGATCATGGTGAAGCTGGGGATTGGCAAACCCAAGGGCCTTGGCGGGAGGATGCAGTCATGGAAGGGAGTGGTAGACTGGAGAACTGCATCAGCTTGTGGGTGAGTGTGGGGAACTCAGTCCTCCCACAGGAGTGGGTGATTGGCCAGGTGACATTTTGGAGTCAGGCAGGAAGCCCAGAATCAGAACTGCAGTGGCTCCAGTCAGCCACTCTTTGTACAGAGCAGATTGGTGACAACTGGTTGGAATTAGTCCTGCCCCTGTGCATGATCCAATGGCCAAGATCGAGATTTCCTTGAAGCTATCCCTAACTGGCCCTGGCCACATGGCACACACTAATGTGGGGAAGACTCCCAGTAGTTGACTATCTCAGAAGGGAGGGACCACCCTGCCCCACCCATGGTTGTATTCTAGCAGTCAACAGACAGCAGAGGGCAGCAATCCCTAGCCAGCATGCTTCAGAGAAAATATAACCAACACAGGAAGTGCCCTCACTATTCACTTTTCTGGAAGAAACCAGAAACATGACAAGAGGAAGAAACAAAAGGAAGTCTCCAGCCTCCAACCTAAGCAATAATGGCCCAGAAGAGGTAAACACAAAAGAGATCAGGGGTTGCACACTTACAGTTTCTGAAGAAACATAATCTGACATAAAGAAATATCTTTGTGAAATTATAAAAGAATTTAATGCAGAAATACTAATATAAGTAAAAGAAGATATAAGAAAAATAATAAAAGAAATGCTAAGCTCCTCTCAAGAAGACACAGATGGAAGAATGGAGGAACACAGAAAAAGTAGGGAAACCTTCAATGAAGAATATAAAAACATCTAGAATACATGAAACAGATTCAAAGAGATTACCAGGAAATTAAAAATTCCATTGAAAGCTGGCAAAACTGCTTGAAAGAAACTAAAGATGGACTTGAAGACAGGTTTGCAACTTGTGATCATGAAAGAAAAGATCTCCTAAAAACAACAAGGAACCAGGAAGTAACAATACAAAGGCAAGAAGATGACAAGAGGATCTATAACTTAAGAATAAAAAATGTGAGTGAAGAAGCAGGGGTAAACACAAATGAAATAAAAAAGCTATTTATAGAAATAATTAGAAAAAATTCCCAAGCACAGGAAAAGGAAATGATATTCAGATATATGAGGCATACAGAACTCCAGCTAGCTATAACCAAAATAGATCTACACTTGATTACATATAATAATCAAGATGCCAGAAATTCATCACAAGAACAGAATATTAAAAGATGTCAGAGAAAAGAAACAGATCACCTATAAAGGAAAACTCATCAGAATCACAACAGACTTCTCAACACAAGCCATCAGATCAAGAAGAGCTTGGTATTCCAAGCTCTGAAAGAAAATAATTTCTAGCTTAGCCTGACATACACTTCAAAATTGCATTTCAAAAGTAATGGAGAAAAAAGATGTTTCCATGAAAAAGAGGAACTGGGGGAGTTCATGACCACCAATTCAACCCCACAAAAAATACTGAAGGACATTCTAGAGAGAGAGAAAAAAGACCATGGCTTCAGGAAGAGCAGCAGAGGGGACTCACTGGACAGGGCAGATACTGGAATGAAGGCAAAAAGTAGACAAACAATGGCAGAAAAATAGCATGGCAGAGATGAGGCAGGGATGGTTGGCCACAGTCACTAACATGGATGGCCTTGATACACTAAGTTAGAAAAACAGGCAGAGTGGACCAGGAGATAGTGTCCATCAAGATGCTCTATATAAGAAATATAATTAATCTGAAAGAAAGTTTATAGACTGAAAAGTCAAAGATGAGAAAACAATGCTCTATGTGACAGGGAACCAAAAAAGTGGAAGTAGCTTGCCCTTCAGCTGCAGTTTGGTTGGAAAGATTTAACACTTTTATACAATTGAGAAATACTCACTATGAGGAAGGAAAAGCTTGAGGCTCTTATAAGTAAATGGATACAACATGAGACCAAGCTCAGGGGTAAAAAGATTCAGCACCACTTAGGTAAATAGCAGGTTGCCCCCTAATCTAAAAACTAAAGGAGTTAGTGGAATACAAAATGTACAATGCACCCTGTGAAAGTGAAAAGGGAGGAATTGTCTAAAAAGGGAAGGCAGGGGACATTTGTTAATCTTGTATCATGATTAGAAACCCATATTGTTTGCATCGCTTTGTTCAGTTTGGTTATATTCTGTTACAGTTTGTCTTCTTGTACTAGATTTGATAGCATGGACAGCTATCTCAAAGATAGCAGTATATACTAGAGTAACCATTTTTAATTTCCTATTAACTTAATCTGCAGCTCTGTATGATTTCACTGTCTTGTTTTGACTGATTTTATTTGAATCTATTTTGTTTGATTGCTGTCATCTTGAGTGATTTTATTCAAATCTGTTATGTTTGATAGTATCAAGTCTGAGAGTATAGGCAACTCCTCTGAGGACAATAAGATTCACTATGATACCCATTCTGGTTTGACTATTACCTTCTTTTGAAGTCCTATAATATCTCCAATATATTGATTCTGTTCTGTGTTGCTATGCTCAATTTTATTGTGCCTGATGACATGGGAAATTCTACTGAAAATAACAAGAGACATCATGGTAACCATTGTAGATCACCTTGAATTTTGGGTTTAAGTAATGTCCTATGTCCATCCTTTTGTTTTGACTCATCCCATTTTGTTATTTTTCATTTGGTTTTATTCTCTTCAAAATAAATTTTAAAAATGTAATCACTGAGATTGAAAACTCCAAATGCTGTTTATAAGAAGAGCTAAACCAATACTTACATAAATGGAGGGCCATGTTACAGTTATATAATGTACAGAGTGGTAAAAAAAACCAGAAAATATCAGGTGTAGTTGAGACACAGAGATGAAATAAATAATCCCAACATATACTTATCCAGATTTCCAAAGATAGACAGTAAATGGGATGAAACAGAGAAAGTACAAAAATGAAGTGGCTGAAACTTTCCCCAATGAGGAAAGAAATGAACCTTAGTTGTCAGTGCATGCCAAATACCAAACATAATGAACAGAAACGAAATTCACATGGAATGCAATGAAAACCCAGCAAACCAATGATGAAGTCATCTCAAATACATACAGCAAGCCTGGCAAGTTTCTTATAAAGGAAACACAATTCAACAAACCACAGAGTTTTCAAAAGTATAGTAATGGCGGACAACTATAGACGGCTATCCTCAAGGGATAAAAGCAAACAACTCTTACCTTATGTATGTATTTTGTTTTTCTTTAACTAACATTTATATGACACTCACCTCAAAAGGCATTTCAAAAATTAACTAATTTAACTGTCATAATTTAATACTCAAAATAATTGCATAAAAGGAATAATGTTTTCATTTTATAGGTGAGAAAACTTAAGAGTATTGGGATTAAAGTACTATTCTCAAAGTCCCATCACTAGAAAAAACTCAAAATTCAGATTTTATTTTAGCAAAATTATTACTTAAGAATAATGTAAAGCACATTTACTTTATGAATGTTTAGTGATCATAAAAATTCCTCATTGGAATGATTTTATAAAAAGATATGATCAAAAAAGTAAAAATTAAATACAAAAAGGAGGAACAGTAGGAATGGTAACTATGCAAACTTTAATGATAAAAACCAAAATAAACATGAAGATTAATTTAGGAATCATACAAACAACAAAGAACAAACACAATCACTGTTTATTCTGGTATGACATTACAGATAAAAGCAGTAAGTTTTCAGATAAATATAACATTTCCAAATGTGTAGGGATCTAACATACAATATAGCAATATGTAAAAGCAATGTCTGATATAGAAAAATCTAAGGGTCGGGGATATAGGTCAGTGGCACAGCCCCTGTCTGGCACACCTAAGGGCCTGAGTCCGAGTCCCAGTATCCTCCCTATAAATCTAGTACTTAGAAACAACTAATGAGTCTAGGAAGAAAAATAATAGGAACCATTAAATATATTAAAATTGAATACTTATGAAAATATTATATATCAAAATACATACGAATCTTAGATGGAAATTATATAGCACTAAATGCTATCTTAGAAAGCATTAAAAATTTGAAAAATAATGAATTAACTACCAAACTCAAAGAGTTAGGAAAAAAAAACAATAAATGAAAGGTGATCACTGTACAACTCCCAATGTAGTAAATGACTACAAGAAGTTTCAATGACTATGTAGCCGTTAAGTAAAAGGGTAACAGATGATTACATTGACACAGGGCAACTTAGAGTCTATACATTACTCACTGTGACAGTCTTACTCCCCTGATCCATTCTAACAATGCTCTTAAAAGTTACCCACTTTTGATACGGTGCAGTAAAAAATTGACAGCATTAGTTTGAAGTTATTTTTGTAAGCGTTTTGGTAACTATTTCATTCAAATTAATATAAACACTTATATACAAACTTCAAAATTACAGAACATTTTCAAGAAAAAGAAAAAAAGCCTCAAAATCTAGAGTATTACACAACCCAAACTGGAAAATAATCATGCTTGTTTGTAAAATTGAATATATTGAAGGAAAACTGAGCCAGTTTCTCCAACATATTAATATTAAGAGGGGAAAAAAACTAAGAGGAACGTTCCACATTCTTATATTTTGTAGAGAAATGTCATATACTGTCAATTATTGAATTGTGGCCTGAAACTAACTTTAAAAAGCACATGGAATTCAATGGAGAAGAGTGAAGATAGATATTATTTTAGGAAATTATTATTGTTACATGTAATGCATCATCCATACCCCTGCATATAAGGGCACAATTCATAGTAACTAAATCTGATGGTGGCTGTTGTACTCCACGGTTGTGCACAGAACAATTAGAATCAGGACATGGAGTTTATGTTATTTTATGATGGTCACCCAGAGTTAACACAAGAAAACGTAGGAAATCTATCCACAACAATAAAGACATAGTGTTGTGCCAAGGGCCTGAATCCCACAGCAATGTCCCACATGAGTCCAGATGAAGACCCAGAGCTCATGACAATGCCTCCCAGAAGTCCATCTGGAGGTCTAGAGCCCACCAGAAGGATTTACGCCAGTCTCTTTTATGGATCCGTGTTGGGAAGGCCCGAGGTCAGTGGTGGAAGCTAGGAAGTCTATGCCAGCAGGGTGAAGGAGCTGTGCTGATAGGCTGATGGTTCTACACTGGAGCCAAGAAGTCACACTCAAAAAAAAAAAAAAAAAAAAAAAAAAAAAAAAAAAAAAAAAGACCGGGGATGTCTTGAAAAGCACCACAGCCATCCTCAGTGACACAGAGGCTCTGAGCTCCCGTGACAACAAGCACAGTCAAGTACATGCCAGGAAGCCAGTGTGACAAGTTCATCCTGGAGATTAAGTGACATACGTCTTCCCCTCCAGAGCCAGGAAGCAATGCTCTATGTAAGGACCAGAGTTTCTCCAGGAGACCCAGCAGCTCAAACAGCAACACATAGGAGGTCCCACAATGCCTCCACGCCTCAATGCCTCCTTCTACTTCTCCATGTCTCTATGATGGCAACTTTCCTCAGGTGGAACATCTTACATTCAGCAACATGGTGATTTAATTCTGCTGGTGTTAAATTGACCACCAGTTTTTAATCTATAACAGTGGCCAAAAACATGTTAATGGGAGTAGAGGGGAAGGGGGAAAAATAGAGATGTGATATAAATATGTATCAAATGTGCACAATGAATGTTATCATTATGTCCTGAAAACAAGTACTAATGGTTCTGTTTTGCTGTATTTAATCTTACCCTCTTTAAGATAAAAAAACAAGTGTGTAGGACTGATAACCATATTACTAAGTTCTTGTTGGATGCTTGAGCAGAACTGTTTGCAGTGTCATTGTTTGACTATCACTTTGTATGCTTTAATTTTGTAATTCAAGCAACTATTTCTAAGATGACGGTATGTAATTTATCAACTGGTGATTTCTTACTGTTTATTTTTCTGAAATTCTGTATTGTTTCTACCCTTTTTATCTTTTTTTCCTTTAAATAAAAAAGTAATGTTGTAGTAATACAGAAAAATGTTTTAATTTTTAGAGATGCACATTGAAATGATTAGTGGTAAATATTTATATCTGTAGTCTATATTTTAAAATGTACTAAAATGAGATGAAACTCCCCAATAAGGAAGGAAATGAATCCCTAGTTGTCAATGCACACCAAGTACCAAACATAATAAATAAAAACAAAACTCACATGGAATAAGATTTACTTACTAAATATGTGACAAATTTATTAGATTCCTCAGTTTGTTTTTTTCATGTTTGAGCTTTTTATAATACTATATTTGAAAAACAAAAAAATCAAGAAAATGGAAGCAGTCTTGAGACTTTGCTATAATTTGCTTTGGAAAGTACTATGGTGAGCCAGGTCTCCGTCTGTCCATTTATCTGTATACGCCCTAGTCCAACCTAAGCCTGCTTTTTAAAGCTCAAAATCCACGAAATGTCCAGGGCAGAAGCCACTCCTTCTTCAGCAGACATGGTCTTCTCCCTGGGCAGCAATCATGCTGATGATCATGACACTAACTGAAACAGGAACTTACTGATCAGACACTTCCTTGTCTGTGTGTTAGTAGCAAACCTACCATTTTGCAATGTTAGGCAAGCACTTTAGTACTAAAGCTATAGTGCCAGATCTTTCTAGTTTTTATCTTGAGATAGGTTCTTACTAAGTTACTGAGGCTGGGTTTGAGCTTATTCCAACAACAACTCTGAAACAAGTGAATCTGAATAACTTCAATTTTTCCATTGTTATAGAAAATATCTGAGCTAAATCAACTTCAGAAAAAGAAAATATTTATTTTGACTTACAGTTGAAGAGGCTCTAGTAGTCCTGTAGTGTTTGGATCTTTGGTAAAGCAGCACATCATGGCAGGAGCATGTAGCAAAGCAAACTGCTCATCTCATGGCCGTGTATCAATAGAATGGACTGGGGTCCCAGTGACCTTCAAGGACACACTCTCAATGACCTAAGCACCTCTCCATGGGCCATGCCTCTTAAAGGTTCTATCACCTTCCAACAACAAGTCTTCAGCATGTGTGCTACTGGAGGACATTTAAAATCCTAATTAAGAAAATTCAGACAATTATGGGGATAATCTGGGATGAAATTAAAGGTCGTCTCAGTTAAGAAAACTGATTTTTGTATTAAGTTTGGTTAATGCTCAGTTCAAAATGTACTGAAATTTTTTTTCTTGTTGTCCAAGTCCATCAAGTTTCTAAGATTAGCACGAAAGAAACTGCTTTATTCCCCATCCACAATACAGAAATTTAACATTATATTGCTAAAAATTACAAATCTGAAGTCCATATGCATTTACTAGGGCCTCAATCTGTTCAATAGAGATGGAATAGGAGCTATGAGGGACTTCAGATGGATATAGCCCCACAAAATCCATAAGCATCAACACAGAACCTGAGCATTAAAGTCAAATGTACTACAGAGGTCTAAGAAAATGTTAGCCTTCATATGAAACATGGGACAAGCAGTGGATAATGATTAATTTACTTCAACTTTATTGATCTTTTTCTTTCCTTTTGCCTTTGCTTTGGTGACTAGTACCTCCTTTGTGACATTGAATAGAAGTGATTATATGTGAGTATCCTTCTCTTCTTGTCAGTCTAAACAAAAAAGTCTTCCAAATTTCTTAAGTATAATGCTGGCAAATGTTCTTTAAATTTTGGTGCTTGTGAAATAGGAGGCAGAGTTTTCATCTAGATTCTTCTCAATGATCCAGTAAATGTATCCATCCCCAAACTACTGTAAATTATTAGTGATTAAAGTCTACAAATATTCCTTTCTACAATTACCCTGGACCAAATTACCTCATAGGCAATCAGAGGTAATACTTGACTATCTGTTTTGTAAGTACTATTAATCTAAGACAAAGTATGAAAGTCAAAAATTCTTTTTGGCAGCAGCTCCAAACAACAAACAAGGCAATAAAAATTTATTTCTTGCAGTGATCAAAACAAAGGAAGCTCTAAGTCAGAATTACTAACAGCAGAGATTCAGAGAAAGACTAACACTCTGTCTACATCAGACCTCCATTTAAGAAATGTGATTAGAATATGGGATGGAAATACCTGTTCACAGTTCTCTGTCTATGTGTGACTCTCACAGATAACTCATTTGTGCTCACAGTATGGAAGGTGACTTTCAACAAGAGCCAGCATATCAGGCAGAACTGAAATACATGTTATGACCTATTTTTGGAAATCATTTATCATTACTTGTACAATAGTGTGTTGGCAACATAGTCCAGCTGTTTTCAAAATTTTAAGGGCATTAATATGAAGAGACATGAATCATTAGGTGCTATATTGAAGGCTACTGGCTACCACAATCCATCCTTAGACCTACACTGATTCAAGGCCCTCCTGCATAAAAAATTATACTATACACTGTCCAAAGACTCCAAAATTCATACCATAAAGTGTCAGCGTTCTTCTAGCCAGTAAATCAGACACAAGTGCAGATCATCTTCCTCATTCTACAAATTGACCTCCTGAGATTCCTGCCAGAAATAATACTACTTTTTATTATCTTATTTGTAAATCTCCAAGTCTTACCTATTCAACTTCTAAAATGTGAAATATGCCCCTTTATGAAATTACCACTGCTACTGCTCTAATTAAGCCCTAAGCATCTTTTCATAGACCACTGCAGTCACTTTCTAACTGGTTTAGTCACTTACAGACTCTCTTATCTTAAATCACTGTCTTCAATGCTTCCTGCCAGTTCTCACAAAAAATACAAACATGATCTTTTCACTCCATGGCTTAAGAAACTTTACTAGCTTCTGTTATCTTGAATGGTTTTATTGTTTACAGCAAGGTAGTATTGAGCACAGAGATTAAGGTCATAGACCTTGGAATCAAACAATGTTTTCAGCCCTGCATAATCAGCCAAGCATCAAAGAGATTGACTCTATCCACTTTATTCATTCTATCATAGTTGAGAATACAAAAGAACATGGTTAATTGTATATGATGGTGCTATTCACTGGTATATGAAGAACTAAGAATGAAGCAGGTTTTGTGGAAAAGGATGCAGTTGACTTAGCACAGATGTAGTTTAAGGTTCCCGTGAACAACGAAGTATGCAAATATTAGAAGCTTTCTTAATACCTTGCAAGTTGGAATTTGCTGTTCTCATTCTATAATATTAACCCAAGGGATAAATAGCAAATAATTTCTTTTATAATGTTTTAGTGAAGAACAATGCTAAGTTTTTGACTCCATATTCTTTCTCACAATTCTTTACTCCAATAATTTCCATATATTTTAAATATAAGACAGTCACTATTTAGCACCATAGAAGGGACAGGATCTGGAGTAAATTTTAAGAAATTACTTGAATTTATTCATGTTGATTTGCAGATGAGAAAAATAAACTCTGCCTAGTTAAAGTGATATACCCATAGTTACAGTGCATAAGAAGCAATATTCAGACTAATTTCATTAAAAAGTTTATTCTACTACCCACTGATTTCTCTAGCAGCATTTTTCAGAACATAACCTCTGTGAATCCAGTGAACAAAATTAGAGGTGTGACTTTTAACATTGGCTACCATTTGCATTACTGGAGAGTTGCAGTGAACAATTTGTTTACTTAATCTAGAATTTAATGGCAGAAAATCTTTTCCACTACATATTAGTGTCAGCGGGAAATATTCTGGGAAATGATGCACCATGATATACTTGAGTCTGACCAGGGTGGACTTGATGTGGTCAGTAGAATTATCTTGATGGGTCAGAATTAGAATGATGCAAAAGATGTTCATTAATTTTGACAGGTTTGTGCTGTTATTGCAAATAGGTTGTATAAATGAGTTTTATTAATAATATGAGGATAAGTCTTTCTCAAGTAAGAAGGGGATCAACAGATGGAGAAGGGATGGGGAAGTGTTGAAAAAGAACTGAGATGTGTTATGTGCATGCATCAATTCCCCCCAATGAATATAATCTTTATATACAGCAAAAATACTAATAAAAATAAAAACTGAAGAAAAAAAATACTATACACGTGTTTAATGAGCTGCCTAGAACTTACTGATTATTGCAGGATGGGAGTTTGAAAGATTTGATTTCTCCTACATAAGGAGGTAATGCAAATCTGTATTCTAAATCAAGGGTTGAGGGCTTCCAACTGGAGAACTGTGGTAGCTGTTAGGAACTGGATTAAAAAGCTGCTATATTTTCATTTTGTAGGAAATCAGGGGGCAAGAGAGGAAAATAAATAGCATTAGGGTTTAATAATAAGTAATTTTGTTGCTGTTAAGTGGTACATAACTGTAAAATTACTAAGAAAATGTTAAGTGGATGTTAATTTTCAATTCTACTATAAAAGAAAATTCACAATTTAAATATTATAATAATTAAGCCAATGAATAATTTAACATCACATATTTCTTGTTAAAACTGTCCTGTTAATTAAAAAACTAAAACAAAACAAATAAGGAATATAATGGAAAGATGGAAAGGCCAGCCACAGAGATGTCTACTCAAGATTTTGGCCAGCTTCACTTTAGCTACAAATTATGAAAAATCACAAACCAATAACCTTTCTGTTTTTAAAAATATTTGTGCAAAGTACAAATTTTCTCTGTATCTATACAGATAACCAAATCTATAACTGTGTACATTAATGGAAAGAAAACAAATAATATACAGTATAACATACCATTTCTATTTCCATACATTAATTCAAAGAATAGATGAACACCTCTCAATTTACAGGTCTGCCACTTATGGGCTCTATGAATATGGCTTCCTCATCTTTCAGAATGTGAATTACAGAAATTGGCACCAGTATGTAAATTTAGACATTTGAAGAGAAACAGTCAGTACTATATCCCCTGATCTTATTGTGTTGAAAGTACAGTAAAAAGAATTATTTTTCCTTGTACTGAGGATGAACCAGTGCCTTCACACTAAATGATACCTCCAGTTACCGCGCTTTAAAAAAAAAAATGTTGATATAGTCTCACTAGATTGCTAAATGGCCTAAGAAGGGCTCAAAGATGTGACGTTTCTGACTGTTAGGATGACAACCTGTAACATGGGGTCACACTGACAATGAAGCTTTTAACTTTCAGTATATACAAGTTTTGTTCTTTCACCAAGTCCTTACTGAGACACACTGTGGTTCAAAGCTCTATGCTACAGCCAGGCATAAGACAAATCCTTGACATCCATGTTAGTGTCTCAGGAGAAAAGTAAATAATTCTTTGCAAATGCAAGATTTACAATTGTCATAAGAAGGTTAGAGATAAGTACTATTAAACTCATAAATGATATTAGATTTAGTTTTATTACAATGTGTCATACATGCTCTACCTTGAAGAATAGCTAAGATTTAATATGTACTGTGGGATAAAAGGATTCTACAGAGAATAAAAATGAAGAAAGTTATGGATATAGTATGGGCATTTAAAGAAATTACCTTGAACTATTGTAAAGGGTGCTAAAATCGAAAATAAAGTATAAATTCCTTTTATTTGTAACATAGATGGCTTTAAAGATTATTTTAATTAGCTAATCATTCCTTTACATAAAACTGTATTTGAAATACACTCAGGAACTACATATTTCGAACTATCCTAAAATACAAGTGACTAAAATTCATGTTTTAAAAAGTCAGAAAGCGTTAGTCTTGTACAAAATTGCCACAAAGTGCCTTCTTCAGGTAAGAAAATATCCCCTTTTCATTAATATTTTCCATATGCTAGAAAGTATACTGAATTCTTTACATACGTTTATTTATCCACTTATTTCATATAACATATGAGATACCTTATCCCTATTTTAAAAAGTAAAAAGCTAAGATGGAATCTAGGTATGCTGCTAGTAAGTGCAAAAGCCAACATCTGCTTGGGCGCCTGACAACTATCCTGCATCCCAAGGTAATATGATTTACAAGGAGCATAAATGTCTCCACTTTCCAGAAACAAAAAGTTTAAAATGCCAGGTTTTAACCTGTTTTGCATAAATAGAAGCTTTCATACAAATTAAACTGAATACTTGTCAATGAATGAAACAAGGTCTTTAAGTACATGAGTTTCCCCCAAATTAGGGAGGAAAATAATAACCAATTTGCAAACAGGTTGTTTTGAGTGTGTTAAACACAAACATTTTTATTTTTGTGTAACAACTGACAGAGCCATTTCTAATGCACGAATCACCTTTCTCAGGTGTCTGCAAGGACGAGGTAAGTAGCTCGACTTTCTGATTTTTTCAGGCAAACAGGCCCACTTCACAGCAACTCGCTATACAGGTGAAAATAAATACCTGCACAAGACCCCACCAGTGCCTTACAGTTCTGCATCGTTAACATAAATTTTAAGGAATAGGCACAGCTTCAAAGCCTTAGAGCTTTAACCTCAGAGCCTCCAGCTGAAACCAAAGAAGTGGCCGGGACGGGAGCTCGTCTGGGACAGGTGTTTCAGAGAGATAGAAATACTACAACATCTTATAACTTACTCTCCTGGAAAAAACAACACAACACAACACAACACAACACAACACAACACAACACAACACAACACAACACAACACAACAAAAAAAACAGCAAACCAAACCAAACCAAAAACAGCCTCCTTCGTACTCCTTTAGGACTCACACACTCTTACTTCCGCTTCCGGGGAGGAACTTCCGGTCCCTAGTGGGCAAGGGACGAATCTAGAGATGAGCCGGAAATTGCCCTACTTCCGGTAGGGAAACTTAGCTTCAGCCTTGACCGGCTTGACAGACCCGGTTCCTGGTTTTGCGCTCCCTGCGTTTACCTTGCTCCTGTCTAACCTTGAAACTCATTTGCTACCGCCGTCCCGCAGCTTCTGTCTCCGAACTCGCCCCTTCCCTATGTTCCGGGGCACGAGTCCTGACAGCGAAGACCCGCCCGCCGGTTCCCCATCATGTCCGAAGTGACTAAAGAGCTGATGGAGCTGGTGTGGGGCACCAAGAGCAGCCCTGGGCTCTCGGATACCATCTTCTGCCGCTGGACGCAAGGTACCCTAGCTGAGCTGTCACCTGTCTTGCGAGAGTCAGTAGCGCCTATCGCTGCACACCCTCGCGTGCCCTGTGTTCTGGCCCGGTCCCCGTGCACAGCGCTGGAACTGGATTTTCTAGAAACGCCCTGTCTGCTTCGGGGTGGGGGTGGGGCGGAGGTGGGGTGGCCTGGCAGGAGCCTGGTCACAGCCACCCACCGCTGTCTCCATGCCACCTTGCAGCTGCGGACAAGGGTGGGGGTCGATGCCAGGGCTGGCCTGCAGCTGACAACGAAGGTGTGTCCCCTGCTCCCGGGCAGTTTCCCAGCCAGTGCTGCTGTGGCCGCCTGGACCTTTACTCCCTAATACTTTTATGTGATCTGCTCAAGATTTTGTCTGTTTTTACGTGGGAAAGAAGTCCACTGGAAGGTCAAGATGGCCCAGCCGAAAGCAGCTTTATTTGTCTTGTAGTTATGTGGTTCGGTGTGGCAGCTTAAGTACAAGTGTAAGATTAATTGCTACAAAGTGATCTCCTGGCCTCAAGCTTCCGGGTTCTGAGATAATATGTTAGTATCTGATACTATTTAAAAGAAATAACAGGCACAGTACTTCTTGTGCCTGCGTAGTATTACCCATACAGGATATATTATTAATGATAAAAATAGGAAAGTAAAATAATCATTTATTGAATTTCTTCACTGTTCCAGGCTCCATGCTAGGCATTTTGTACTAGTAACTGCCCAAGTTTTTAAGTTTCTATAGTAAAATGTAACTAACACATTCTTAAGGTAATTTTAAAATATGGTAAAGGTAAGAGCATACCTTTGGAGTCAGAAAGATCACTAATGTATGTATGTACTCGTGCTCGCAAGGAGTTGAGGTAATTTTTTCGGGTAATATTTAGAAATCCCCATTTCAAAATGTGTTATTTTGTAACAGAAACTCAGGATTTAGGTAATCCCGTCTCTTCTTGTAGCTATGTCAACCTCAAAAGCTAGTAAAATTAGAATAATGATTCATTAGAGTCAGTCGGACTGTTTAGTACATTACTTTTGTCTTCCTAATGAGAAAAGTGAGTTGTGGAGGTTAAATGACTGGACCAAAGATGCACAAATGTATTGGGCTAGAAATGTATTCCAAGTCTCTCACTTCCAAGTCTAGTTCTGTTTTCATTATTTTGCTTTGAATTTCCAAACTTTTTAGTTTGGCTCTTTTCACACATTTGGCAAACTAATATTTTCTAAACTCTTAGACATATGCATTTGCAGATTTTAAAAGTTATCTCTTTGGTTTATTTATTCACTATTAGTGAACAATTCTAAATACACAAACTGAAGGATTAAGAAATGTTTGACTTTCATTGCAATCAGTCAAGATTCATTACACATTTAACAATATAGCGTAAGTTAATATCATTTCCATTTGTATTATACAAATTCAAGGAAAACTTTTAGGCAATTCGAGTAAGAGCACAATTTTTTTGTATTAGGTATTTACTTGGGTTCTAGGTTCACATTATTTAATTTTAAGGTCACATAAATACATTTAGCTGATTAGTGCAATAGTAAATGCTTGGCAAATGATAGTTATTGCTATATTAATTTAAAAAACATTTAGCTGTGAACTAAATTTAGTCAAAGATCACGTGACTACCCTGACAGTTGCAAGATATGATTATTTTCTGGATAATCATTATTCTGAAAAAAAACCTTTATCATGACATATTAGAATGCTTTTCCTACTGCCCTTTATTAATGTGAAAGTTTTAAATATTAGTTGAATGAATACCATTTCAAAATAAAGGACCCCCCCCCCCCCCCCCCCCCCGCCTTGTTATATTATAGATGTATGATTCTTCCTGATCTTACACTGGTCAAGATTTTAAGGCAAAAACTTTTTTTAAATTATCACCTCTGACTCAGAAGGTTATACTTTTAATTGATATCAGTATGTTGAGTGTTGTATTCATTCCTTTATCTTTAGAGGGCATTGAAAAATACTGCTGTGGCAATCACTTGAGATTGTGGGAACAAGCACAAGACATTGCTTTGCTGCATTAGTCATGTGACATCAAGTCTAGCTTTAGTTTGTAATCAATAACTGCTTGAATTCACAACTGCAGTTTTAGAAGCAAGATATAGGTGTGAAATATTTAGAGTAAATGAAAGATTTTACTGCAGATCTTTCGTTCTGTATAATAAATTACATTTATTGGTTAAATTAAATTATTTTGATATATTTGTTTAAATAAGCTGCAACAGTGGCACATAGTAATTGTTTTAAAATTGATTTGACAATTTTAGAGAATTCTGCAAACCTTTGTGTTTAAAAAGAAGTGGAGTGGGTGTTTTGCTTGGTGTTTTGTTTTTGCCAGATTTCATTTCATTTTACAGTTTATTTATTTATTTTTTTTTTTTTGACACAAAGTCTCACTGTGTAGTTCAGGGTGGCCATGAGCTCCAAGTAATCAATCCTCCTGTGTCAGCCTGTCCAGTACTGGGATTACAGACATGTGGAATCATGCCTGACTTGCTAGTTTTTATTTTGAAGATGATAAAACACTTAAGGGCTTGAAGTTGGTTCTCCTGTCCCCAATCTAGTGCTCAGAAAGCATTGGTGGAGGATCACTACATATTAGATGCCAGTCTGGGCCACATACTGAGTTCAAGGCCAGCCTCAACTTCTTTGTAGTAAGACTGTCTCTCCAAAAAACAAAAATGAATAATAGAATTTAACTTGTAACTTTATTGTCTCCTCCATGTTTCATCCTGCTCAGTTGCCTTAGAAGTTTTTAAAGCCAAGCATATATTTTTTCACTTTCTTAGTGTATTAGTGCCACATACTTTCCAGTGATAGCGAACCTACCACATGCAACAGTGGGATGTTTGTTATCATTGGGAGCTCCAAAAGATTCATCATCACTCACCTATGTCAAGGTTTAAGTGCACAGTTGAAACTTGATTAAGTGGAAGACAACAAACAGTATAGTGCACATGAAGCATAGATGATACTGAGAAGGTGTAGGGATAGGGTATTCGGGGGTGGAGTCATCTGTCTGCGTGGGTTCACTTTGGGGATGAGATTTGAGCAGACACTTGGAGTGAGTGATCCTGCAGGCACCTGAACAAGATTAGAGTGGCTGGAGACTGGGAGGGAAGGGGAGAGTAACACATGATGTGAATCAAGTCACGTTAGGCTTCTAGACCATTCCAAGGACTTCTGCTTTTACTCTGAATGAAGTGGGAACCCTTGGAATGATTTGGAACAAGACCTGTCAACCTTTTAAAGGACTGATTTGGTTGCTCTTTTTAAGGTTAAGCTATAGTAGACTAAATATGGCAGTAAAATCAAATGAGAGACCATTGCAGTAATTCGGGAGAAATGACGATGGTTTGCATGAGAACAGTAGTAGTGAGGTGGCAGAAAATGATCAGACTAACCACATGCCTGCAGAAACAAAATAAGAACCATCTAGATCTAACAGATGTAGTGTCAATCTTATAAATGAAAGCATTTAATTTACTGAAACTCACTCTTTTCAGTAATGATTGTGTAGCTCTATTGTATTGCTGCTATTGCAGACCTTTTTTTTTCTTTCTTAATGCTCCTTGATCTGGTTGCAGCAAAAACAGGCCCAGACAGTATGAGGATGGCTTTTCCAAAAGTTTACTTATAAAAACCTGTGAAGGTTGTAGTTTGCCAATTCCCTAATCTGGATTATAGATTTTGTGAGCCATTTTTCCATCTTTCATGCTTTGAGTTATTTTCCTGTTGCACCTAAAGATTAACCAGAAGGAGAAAAACTGAGTTTTGCTATTTAGGATTTGTTTGGTAGGGCACAGTGTTGTGGTTCAAGAGCAGTAAGCCAAGGCTATATTGATTGAAATGAAAGTTTTAGATTTTTATTATAGATGCTATTCTTAATTACATGATATATAAAATGAGATTACTTAACAGTGATGTAAAAGTGAAGGATTAATTCAGGATGTAGGTATAAAATGTATTTTTTGTGGGTTTGTTTTGGTACCAGGGATCGAACTCACAATCTTGCGCTTGCCAAGCAGGCACTAATGTCACTAAGCTAAACCTCCAGCCCTAAAATGTATTTACGAGTTACTTCACTTGGGTTAAAGTTTTGAAGGTATATTTGGGCATTTATGTGATGCAATTTGGCATTATGTCAAAAATGATATACACTATCATTAATTTTTCTTTCAAAGTGAGGGTAGTAATGCAGATTTTCAAAGATTTTTTTTGTTGTTAGAAGCCTTCTTTGTCTCTCAAGTGTACTTTTTCTTTTCTCTAAAATGTAATTTTCCTGACAACCAAGTTTATAAAATTCAGATTGTAAGCATACATGACAAAGTTAATTCCATGGTACTTCTAATACATAACATTTTTATTCAAAGACTTAAAAATAGGTATAATAAAGCATGTGTATTATGCTTAACAATTTTGAAAATTTTATTTAATCCTTACAACAACTCTGAACGATGTCAAAGGACAAGTGTAGTTATTCTCACTTTAGGAGATAAGGAAAATACAGCTCAGTTCAATTGTGTGAGTCAGTCAACATCATTTAAATTGCAGTAGGCAAACCAATCTTTCCCCTTGCCTGTGTTTACATGGAGTGCTACACTAGTTATCAAACTGGTTTGAGTAATGTATATATATTTAGTGAGAGATGAAAATAAAGGAGTACAGAATGGCAAAGAAGTTTATGGCTCGTACTTTTCTTTGGTCTATAGTATGGTTAGGATCATTTGTGAGAATGGGCAATATGAAATCTAATCAGAGAAAATCAACCATTTTGTGGTGAGTTAGTTATTTTTAAAACTAGAAAATAATTGAAGTATGAAAATACTTGACAACAATATTTCTGTCCTAAGCAATTTAAACTCAAGTTAATTAAAAAAAATAATAACAGGAGAAGCCTACTTCCCATAGTCCCTTTTTAGTATAGAATACTTAATTTCCATTTGACTGACTTTATTTAATTTTATGCTGCAGTAGTCTTTGTCA